TCTCTTTTCCCTTCCCTTCCCCTCCCCTCCTCTCTTCTCTTCCTCTCCTCTTCTCTTCCTCTCCTATTCTCTCTTCTCTCCCTTCTCCTCTCTTCTCTCTCTCCTCTCCCCTCCCCTCTCCCCTTCTCTCCTCTCTCCTTTTTTTTTTTTCTTTTTTTCTTCTCCACTCCTATTTCACAGAAAGGAATAAATTGCTGTCGCACAGGGATAATTTCACATGTGAAAAAATGCAGGTAAGAGGCTGCAAAGCATCATCCAGCAGCACAAAGCCAGAATGCTAGGATATAAATGTGAACCTAACATTTTAGGAGGTGCACCAGCTAACAAGAGGGCTGAAGTAGGGCTAGAGTCGAGGATGTCACCTGTCTTCTGAGTCACTGCTTTTTCCCCAGTAAGCCAGGACAGAATGCCTGTGTGATCAAAAAGTGTCAAAAACGGACTCATCTGTAATTAACACCAAAACAAACACACCTGTAACAGACGGATGCTGTATTTAGTTTAAACCCTAGTGAGAACCATGCCACTTCCCGCCTGCTGATCGAGGAGTCGGCATCAGGCTGCACATTCAGCATATGCTGCAAGTTGATGCAAACGTGAGTTGAGCGTTCAAGGTCAGGCTGGATGGGGCTCTGAGCAACCTGATGTAGGTGAGATGTCCCTGCTTACTGCAGGGGGCTTGGACGAGATGACCTTTAAAGGTCCTTTCTGACCCAAACTGTTCTCTGATTCTGCAATTCTAAATGTTCATCTCCCGGTCATGATCAGAAATGAGGCGATGGTCCCTGCTGCAGATTCAAAGCCAGTCAGCACCTAGGGGCCTCTTGTGGAAAACATCTTTTCTCAGCCAGCCCTCTGCCAGCACGTGCTGAGGAAAAACTGGCAAGCTGCTCTGATCTGGGCCAGCCTCCTTCTTTGTGCCCCATTATCCACATTTAGAATGGCAAAGGTCTGACATTAAGGAGAGAAGGGGAACCTCACCTTAAAGGTTGTACAAGGACCCAAGCCACACCGACATCCCGAACAGCGAGCTGTGCAACAGAAGTCCAACATCTGATCCCCCATGCCTCGCCGGTAGGCTGGAAACATGGAGAAGTCAGTGCTGAGCCTGGAAGGCTACATGGCATGTTTGCCTTGAACGGGTCACACAAGTTCAACAGGCCTACCTGCGCTTTCCAAAAGGCTTCTGACAACACAATTCTCATGCCGTAGCAGTAGTAGGTGATAGGGAACTACTCTAGGCGTGTGTCTTCATGCTTCCCCAGTTTCCTCATCTCTTCTTTCCAACCTCTGTGTCCAAACCCACATCTCCCTTCTTCCACCCCACCTCGCCTCCTCAGAACTCAGCCACAGGACTCCTACATCCTGGGCTTTCCATCTCGTGTCCTTCCCTGAAAGCACTTCCCCACTCCCTACTTTTGCTCCCTACACAGAATACACGCAAAAGTTTGGAGCTGCCACCTCTTAGCGGGCCCAATTCTGGACCAACACCCCCGTAGCACCTGCCTGAGTGAAGACCTCACCCTCAGAGCCTAAGCAGTTTTGATAGCTCACCCTGCTCTGAGGAAGGGGCACCGTGGCCCCAAAGGCAGGCAGACACCCGACCAAGCGCTCCCCACCTGGCCACCTCTGGCTCCACCACCGCAGGGGGAGCGGCTCGGGTGTGCCCAGTGGGGCTAACCGGGAGGCGGGGGCCAATACCAGCTGCCAAGCAAGCCCAGGACAAGAGGGGTGGCCTGACACCGGCTGTACCCTGCCTGTAACGCCCCGGCTGCGGCTGGGTGAGGGCAGCTCCACAGGGTGCCGTGAGGCACCCATGCAGAAACCCTGGGGACAAAACCAGGCCCACCTGAAGCCAGCTTCCTTCCTTCCCCTGGGAGATCACCCACTGAGGCGCAGGAGTGGGGCGAGAGATGATGCTATAAACCAGCCCTGTATAGGACTCAGATAACCATCTTTTATTTGGGTTTTTTTTTGTTGTTTTTTTTTTTCTTTAAAAGTGGTATGTTAACATCAGGTTTTTTTCTACATTTTCAGAGCTCTGTACAGGTCTTAAAAGGAAATAAGCAATGCTTAATGTACAAAGTAAAAACAGAAAACTAGAAAAATCTGAATAAAATGGAGCAAGTTGCTGTCAGGGATACAGTACAAATTAGTAAATAGACGTCATCTGAAGTGCAATACCACTGCAGTAAGGATGAGTTAAGGAATGAAATAAAAATACTCTATTTTAAACAAACAGTATATATATATATTTTTATATGTATATATTTTACAGATAGTAGACCCAGTGATATCTGTAGAATTGTAAAAACATATTTACAAATAACTTTTTTTTTTTAGCATTACATATACATCAGCACCATAGTAAGAAAGAAAAAAAACAACCCCAAATCTATTAAAATCTACCTCTCTAGTACTTGGTCCCAGTACGGAGTATTTGGAGGAAGCTTTACAAAGACAGCAGAGACCCAGCCATCATCACCATTTATTCACCAAAGCCTGCATCTCCCTCATGCATGCGGATTTGCACTTGCCCACCGCACGGCGGTTGCGTTTTTCTAAACCCCCATCTCCCAGCTCTGCATCAGCAGGCAACCCCCGGTCACTCGCACGCGAGAAAGGGATGCTGTGCCGCCCCCCGCGCAGCGGGCTCGCTGCCGCCTCGTCCTGGCATGCCTGTCATACGGGGCAGGACAGGTACGTGCCACACCAGCCCATCGCTCCCTCACCCACACACACAGACACACACATACGCACGATGCCCTCGTCCCTTCAGGGTACCGTTTCTCTCATTCTTTCCCCATCCCTTCCCTTCAGGCTAGTCTGGCCTAGAGCCGCTTACCCACAAGACGGACCGAGAACTTGGGCTGGCTGCTCTCTCTCACCGAACTAGGGCCCAACC